GAAAATATCCCCCTATTTTTACTATAAATATGGAAATGATATACGAATACCGAATTTTTGGGTCAAAATCTCTTTTTAGTTATCTCAAAATCATGATTTTGCTGTTAGGTCCTTTTCTATTTTCCGCGCCCCATATTCCATCTCTGCAAGCTTTCTCTTTTGACCATCTTCACAAATAAACACATATGGATTTTGCAAAACATGTCTAAACTAACAGCAGAAAACATATGATTTAGCAGATGTAAATGGAATGATTTAAGAAAGCATAATGACATATATATGCATCAAAAAGTATATTTTGAGAATTTGTTGGTACTTGACACTGGCTGACTGATTTTTCATCTTATCCAATATAAGTTCTTGTGCCTCCCAATATTTATATATAGTGCACATCTAAATGTAAAAATAAGTTTAACAATATTGACTTGGAAATGATTTCTTCAAGGCTAAGTGAATCTTTTACCTCTTTAATAGCTTTTATGGTTTCAAGAATAATGCCCTCAAAATGCAATGGTGTGAGATTGAGTTGACCCAGGGTTGGCAAATTGACTGGTCCATTGAGAACTGATGGACTTTGAGCTGGTCCATTGCCATTAATAAAATACTAAATATAGTTAAAATGTTACACTAATGGACCCAATGGACCATCAATGGACCACCAATGGACCACACATTCGCCAACCCTGAGTTGACCATACACCTTGGTTTTAAGATCATCCCATTCTTCACCAAAGAATGTATGCATTCCAATTTCAAATTCAGATGTGAGATCTACAATGTATGACAATCCAAGACTGTAATTAAGATTGTCAGTAATTTATACCATTAATTCAACAACAATAATATAATAAATGATATGCTGTACCGAATGACATTGTTGTAAAAAGCTTTTGGTCTCTTAGTATTTGTTTTAGAAGCTTCCATTGTCTTCATTGTTCCTTCTGCAAGAATTTCTGTAACTAACTTTCCATTTTTTAATTTCCATTCTGTTTCTTTTTTGGAAATTGTATTAAATACTGATAAATAAGAATTTACATCAGATACATCATCATCACTACTATTTTCTCCATCTCCATCTCCATCATATCCATATCCATCATCTTCATCTTCATCCGAGTTGTCAAGATCTAGAAATGCCATCATAAGATTCTGAGAGAAAATGAATGAGTTACTTACTGTCCAGACCTTTGACATTTTTTAAGTATATATACACTTTCATACCCTAGGTGCCACATTGATCTTGTTCATTGAATTTTTATGCTAGATTAAATTGCAAAGAATGTGTAAATTACATCCATACAACAATTCATTTGATTTACAAAACTGTGTATTACCTTCATAGGATGTTCATTTGATTTTCCAGAATGTCCCGTCTCCTTTTCCAATTAATTTAGAATGGATTGTTTCTTCCTCAGATTTTCCAATGATATAATCAAACTGGTAGAAATATTTAAATTTAATTAATCCACACAATAAACATAATTCAAAAGAACTCACATCAGAAATTGCCACTTGCAAGTTTGTTTGTTTTTCAACAAGTTTCAGGGTGTTTTCAACATCTAATATTTTGTATTCATTCCAGAACTGTTTTACAGCAATGGAATCTTTATCATTCTTAAAAAATAATTCAATGAAATTGACTTACTTAATTAGTTGCATTATATGCTTGACAAACTGAACAAGACTCAAGGTTTATCACTTGGTCTGGCTCAAAATACCAACCAAATGTGTCCAGCAATAGATTGAGGCGTCCTACCAAGACACCTTCATGAAATGAAAGTGATCAAGGCTTGTCAGCAGTACTGTTGATGAACTGAACAAGATTCAAGGTCTATCACTTGGTCTGGCTCAAAAGACCAACCAAATGTGTCCAGCAATAGATTGAGGCGTCCTACAAAGACACCTTCATGAAATGAAAGTGATCAAGGCTCATCAACAGATTCCAAACATGTTTCATATCATAATAATTAAAAAAAAATATAACCTTAAAATTAAATATTAAATTTTGAGCTTTTTTCTTTGTTGATTCTCCACATATATCAGAATTAGCAATAGCCTCAATAAGACTCTTCCAGATACCATGTTCAACCTTCTTGTTAAAAAGATTTGAATGACGTGACTTCCACCTCAAGAAGCTTACCAGTGACCGACCATTCCGATTCTTCCACCTCCTTGAAATACATTTCCTTTTCAACAATTGGAAGTTTTCATGTTTAATAACACAAAAATAAACAATCAGCATGATACAATGCTTAACACATAAAACTAAATACTCATGTTATTATCCATTATAACTATAGATGTCAAAATATTATGATATATATAATTAAAAAAAAATTTCAAATGTAATACTGATACTTTTTTTTAATTAATTATTATTATGAATTCACAAACATGTTCATTTTTATTGTATATGATTGACAAAACATTTTTTTGTACAACAGCTGTGCAAGAATAAGTAAACGCGTGTTACAAGAATAAGGAAGTCAAGTGACTTCATTATATTTTTTATTTATTATTATATTATTTGATTTGTAATATGGTTATAATACTGCTTCAAACTCTAAATCATGTTTGAACTTGAAATCATGTTTCGAGCAGTATATAATTAATTGAAATGTATATAGGTGATTAAAATTTTATGTACAAGAATTCTTAGAAAATAAAATAACAGTTTTGACTGTATTCAAATTACAAACCAAAGTCATTTGTTGGCATATTTCTATTCATTCTGATTTATATTTTAAATCTATTTCGTTTGCCATTAACTATAAACACTCTATAGTTAGTGACAATATCAATAATTCTCTTTATAAATAAATGATCATCATCATTTATTTGTTTATCTGTCTTAGTTTGATCAATAAATCCCAGGTCTCAAGATAATTTATCTTATCCATTTTTAATAATAACAAATTTAAATCTAACATAATTATTTTCATGGAACCAGTTGAAGATTTTTGTTTTCTCTTTTATATCAATTATTGAATATATACAGTACTTGAAAATATTTCAGATCTTTATTTGCAGATCCACTCAAATTTAATTCTTTTATGCCCACTTTGCTCATCACCACAGGACCAATTTTAGAATCTCTTCAATTTTAAATAAATGAAAACCTACAAAGTGTACATAAAATTGTATATATAGTGATAAGTGTATATATGAAAAGTAATAATAAGCATAATGGTTCTAATGAATATGAAAAGGGAATCAACTTTTTAGAAAAAGGATGTGATTGTGACCGCTCTCCCAGAATTCCCAAGGATCAATTTGCTGAATTAAGGGAATCCTTTCAAGCTCTTTCCAGAACAGAGCAAGACATGTTTTTGATGTCCCAACTTAAAGCAATGGATGGAGGGACAGTAAAGCACCAGTAGACGCCTTAAGAAAAAAACCAGATTTAACAAAAAAAACTTTCTATCACTGAGATCACAATACACTTCTTTGTCAAGAAACTTATCTCAATATGTTAGGAATTGGCAGGACTTATTTTGAAAATATTAG